CATGTGCAAGTGAAATATGTTGTTGAAATTCAAATTCTAAACCTCAGAAAAATCACGAAAAATTACACAATTTAGGTACAGTTTTAAAATAATAAGACAGTTTTCGGGGGGTTATCTCCCTCCTAAATAAAAAAAATGTTACTTTCTGGGATAAGTACATTTGAAAGTTTTTTTTTAGTTTTAGTAAAGAGATTTACGGCACTTGCAACACAATAAGGTCATATAAGTACCGAAGATTAGAGGTGTTACAAGACGGTAACAAACACAAAAAGAACGAGGGGAGATAGAGACAATAGATTTTTTAAAGGAAAGAAGGAGCAAACCACACCAGAGCACCCGCCAACCACCCACTTTTTGGAAAATTTGCTGACAACACCATTCATCCCCAAGAATTGTCACACACAAAGTAAAGTGCACTGTGTTGATTGAGAGGCAAGATCAAGAACAGACAGACAACTCATATTCTAAACACACTGGTTACGGAATGCTGCCACCAGTTTTTGTGCTCTATTCATCAAAAATGAAAAAACAACAACTATTTAATACTAGAAGGGTCCCCTTTCGATGAAAGGAAAGATCGGTGCATTAACATCAACTGAAAGTCATTGGCCTTCTATATTTACACTCTACTGGAATGGAGCAATTAATCTTGAGAGATGCAAAAAATGAGAAGGTCTAGATACTCTCAAAACAAAATGCGCATCGCGAAATATCACTTCCGGCACTTCCGCAGTGAAGGACAATTACGCAGATTTGTTTCGTTTCTCAGTGGAATAATCACAAAGGCCAAAGAATGATGGGAACTTTTTGTCAAATATATTTGTCTAAATTCAGGAAATGAATAAATCGAAAATCGGGCTCCATCAAGGGGACCTATCTATCTTTTTGCAGGTACTTGCCAACTTTCAACTCTGTAGCTGTCGTAGTTTTGTGGGAATAGTGACACATGTGTTTCCAAGAGGCCAAATATATAATAGATTTTTAAAAATTTAAAAACCAAAACTAACACATAAACTCTATCCATGAGGAACATCTTTCCCCTGATACAAGTGGGAGATACTTACAGTTACATACATGTAGTTAGTATCATAACTTAGTATCATAGTAACAAGCAAGACAATGGTGCAATTGGCACTGCATGGTTCAAATCCCTATGACCAGCCAGGCCACAAAGGACATACAGCATCCCAGCAAGACAGACAGACAGACAGACGGAGACATTTGATATATATATTTTAACTAATAACTTCCCAGTGTGAGAATCAAACTCCCGTCTTCCACGTGCTGTGACAGCTCAGAGCTGAACAACTACACCACATTTCAGTTTAGTTTTAGTAAGAGTTTTACGGCACTTGCAACAC